AGTCTGTAACGTGCTCTATGGAGCCAGGGGAGCAGCCGCTGTTAGTTGTGGGATTACCTTGTGTTGTTTTCCTTGTAGTCCAGAAATGTTCATGCAAATTGGGAGAGCGCAGTCTTCGCTGAGAATGGAGCCTCCAGGTTGCCAATAGTTGATTGCGGTTTAGGAACATCTTGGCTAACTCAACTATTGTTTGCCTTTCTTTTGATGGCAGGTGACTAAATTTATACTGTACAAAGTTATTCACACCCTGAAAAGCAGGAAAGGCAATTTAGTTGTGCAAATATGCAATCACACGAATTCTGGGCACCCACATAACCAGCACCACTGGTAGCTACTAACAAAGGAATAGACATTTTCAATGCACAAAAATGTCTTCCCCTCTCTTAAAAGAAAGCAATGCCCAGAGAGAATCTCGCCTCAGGTCCCAGTGTAGGAAAAGTGACTAGACAGAAAAGGTATGAGAAGTGATTCTATGCCTGCTTCAATTCTGAAGCATTAAAGGAAAAATGAAAACCATGGACTAAAAAGACCAACATCCCTCAGACAAGCCAGACACTGGTGACTCACTCCTGTAATCCTAGCTAGTTGGGAGGCTGAAACTGGGAGGATAGTTATTCGAGGCCAGTCTGGGCAAACAGTTCAAGGAAACCCCATCTCCAAAATAACCAAAGCAAATGAACCAAAGTTTGGCTAGAGCACCTGCTTTGCAAGTATGAAGCCCTGAGTTCGAACCAAACAACAATAATAACAACAATAATAATCTGTTTTGCAACAGAATTCTTGCTGTACTATCAGCATAGCTGCTCACATATAATGTGATTCTTTAGTAAATATGTTTTTCCTTGTGAAAATATTCATCAAAAGGCTACTAACATGTCTTCCACTGGACTAAACTATTAAAATTTAAGCCCACTTTCCAGTCAAGGTGAGGCATTACCTGTAATCCCAGCACTTGGGAGGCTAAGGTAGGAAGATCGAGTTCTAGGCCAGCCTGGGCTACATAGTTAAAACAGTCTCAAATAAATAAATAAATAAATATAACTAAATAAATAAACCCATTTCCACTGAACTGAACCACTAAAATTCAAGCATTTTTCTTCACTCCTTTAGTCTCAGCAAGCATATCAGAAAAAAAAAATCTTACTCAAAGCTTGTGTGCGTTCCAGGAAAAGCTGTGGATTAATTTAACCTTTCTACAGAACACTCCCATTCTCATCTGATTTCATGCAAAAGAATAATAGATTCTTACTCAATAATTTGGAATCAAAATATAATTTATTCTCCCAAAAAATGACTGATAAAAATGCACTGATTTGTAAGGATTCTGGTAGTCAGACTCTTCTTTAGTTAGACTCTCACCAAAAAATTCAGTCCAGGGATTGAGGGTGTGGCTCAAGTGGTAAGAGTGCTTGCCTAGCATGCAGAAAGAGGCCCCGGGCTCAATCTTCAATACCGCAAAAAAAAAAGTCAGTCCAGAGAGTTTTTTTATTTATTTAGTCGAACAAAGAAGTGCTAAAAAGTGATGCTGATTCCAACAACACATAACAGAAAAATGTCTACACATTTAAACAGATTCCCTGGGTTTTCCAGGAATTGTAATACAGCAGAAAGTCCGTTTCTGGGTACAAACTCTCATTTCTTTTTTTTTTACTTTGCTTGTCTTATGTTTTTCACATTACTACTGAATTCCCTCACCTCAATAAGCTTTTTCAGAATGTGCCAAACAAAAGGACAAAGACTTAATTTTAAGACACTAGCCACAAGAAAAGACACATTTCATGTGTCCTTACTAGCTACATGTTCTACTTATTTTCTTCCCCAAACACATAGTGAATTTTAAGTATACAATAACCCTCAAAGGCAAAAGCTAGGCCATTTATTAAATTAGGCATGAACTTGTGATCCACAGAGTCCAAGACAATTTCTATAGACTTGGTGAACATCTCTAAACTGTAGAGGAGATGTAGATAGCAAAGGAAAAGGGAGATTAAAAGGTCTTCAGGCTGGGTACTTGCCCACCACATATAAGGCCCCGGGATAGATCCCCAGCACCACACAAAAACATAAAATAAAAAATCTTCAGGGCTGGTGGAGTGGCTCCAGTGGTAAGAGGCCTGCCTAGCAAGTGTGCTCAGTGCTGCAAAAAAACAAACAAAAAAAGATGGCAAGTCTGATTGAAAACAAATCTTCAGACTTAAACCAATAGAAAAAAAACTTCTTATCTTTTTACCTGTTCAATACTAGGTTTTTCAAATGGAGGCTTCTTCTCCAAGGAGCCTTCAACCACAGGTTTTCCTCTTTGTAAAATAGACTTTCTCAAGAGCTGCAAAGTATTAAAAAAAAAAAAAAATTAAGTCATCTCTTTCTCTTTCTTTCCTTCTCTCTCTCTCTCTCTCTCTCTCACACACACACACACACACACACACACACACACACAGAGACTTTAAGGGAAGTCACCATATTCTATTTATCTTAACCATATATAAACAAATCCTTAAATCAAACAGGAAAACGATCAGATAGCACAAATGTACTGTCCTTCCCATAACCAGAGCTGTGAGGAACTAGTCATGACCTGAGCAGCCTAGACCACCCAGTGTGACCACCAGACACCCACCAGGCACCGCTGTCCCACTTCCCCTACTCTTACCCCCCATTTCTGGCTTCCCAGGAACCCTGCACACTGCACAGGCCCATTTAGGCCACTGGGTATGCTGAAGCTCTGGCACTCTGACTTAAGACACCAGGAAGGCCAAGATTCAAATGAGGAAGGGGAGAGGAGCGATCTGTAGCAGCCCTACATCCTATTAAGGGCCTGTGCTAGGACTCCAACCCTTGGGGAAGGAATTCCACAAAGCTCTCCATTGGCAGCTTTGACTGTTGCAGTCTTTTTTCATTTCCCTTCCATCTGTAGACTACAAGCCAAGTGTTCTGGCATCTCAAAGCCCACAAAACAAAAACACTGCTCTAATTCCTGCCACTGGAATTTAAGGCCCTCAGAGAGCAAATAAAGAAAAGGGAACACGGAGCCACTTAACGAGAACTAAGCTGAAAATAAGTTGATACTGAAATTCTTTAACCTTAGCTTGAATCTTCTGTAAGCTTTTCATGTGAGCCAGCTATGATATGATTACGCATTTATTTAAGTTATATCTTTCACTCATTTTTCCGCTTGCTGATTTTCAACAGAAACAAACCATGGCAACCATTCTCTCAGGAGTTGATGGAAATTGATGAACCCCAGCTTGAAGAATAATCATGGGCCCCCCACAGAGCTGTCATACAAGGACCTCAACTCCTTCTAGTGGTGCTGTGAGTTAGAGTATGCAGCAGTTATTGTATTATAAATAAATAAATTTTTAATAAAGTTAAGCATGTGTATGCATCCCAAAGGCTAGAATATAAAGATTAATCATAAAATTTAAATACAAATAATTCTAGTTGCCTATTTTTTTTTTCTGAGTTAATGGGAACTTGGCTCATTGCAGTTTTCACTTTGGAGGTAAACTGACATGAACTGGTTTCTTCATCTACAAAATGATGGAACTAGGACAGGTAGGCATATGAAAATTTTCATTGGAGGCTGGGATCGTGGCTCGAGTGGTAGAGCGCTTGCCTAGCAAGTGCAAGGCCCTGAGTTAAAACCCGAATACCACCAAAAGAAAAAAGAAAAAAAAAAACTATGGGCCTGGAAGAGCACTTGCTTAGCAGGCACTGGACCTAGGTTCTATCCCCAGCACAACTCAAAAGAAGAAATTAATAGAAGTACATATTTGCACCTTTACTTTTGCCAGGTAGGACTTTTTGTTTGTTCATTGTGTTTTTATTCTTTTTGGGGGGGTGGAGGGGGGTTCTGAGACAGGGTTTCACTATGTTGCCAGGGCTGGGCTTGAACTCCTCTTGACTCAAGTGATTCTCTTGCTTCAGTCTCCCCAGCAGCTGGCACTGAAGAAATGTGCCACCCTACCCAGCTTCACAACAACCTTTAGATGCAAGTGCTACTATGATCTGTAAGTTACAGATGAGGAAACCAAAGCAGAATAACTTGCCCAAGGTCACATTTGGTTAAGGGATAGAGCTGAGTTTTAAACCCAAGTACTTGGTCCCTGAAGGACATCTGTAGGCACTAGGTCACACTTCAACTTTAGGAAGCAGTTTTCCATTGAGTTTATTTTTGGCCTCCAAAAACGATGTTTTTAGGGCTGGAGGCACGGCTCAAGCAGTAGAGCACCACCTGCCTCACAAGCTGGAAGTCCTTAGTTCAAATCAAAGTACCACCAAAAAAAAAAAAAATTACAAAAAATGAAGTTTTATTTTGGTTTGGTTTTGGCAGCACTGGGACTTGAACTCAGGGCTTGCCACTTGTAAGCGCTCTGCCACTTGAGATGCCCCACCATCCCTTTTCTGTGTTGGGTATTTTCAAGATAAAGTCTCTCAAGAACTATTTGCCCAGGCTGGCTTCAAACCTCCATCCACCCAATTTCTACCTCCTGAGTAGCTAGGATTATAGGTGTGAGCCACTAGCACCTGGCTCAAAAATGAAGTTTTTTGGTTTTGGTTTTTTTTAAATGCTACCAAAATATATAATACATTTTAATTTAACTCTTTACACATGAGACACAGGAACTGCCTTTCAAAAGTTAAGGAATGGATAATTTATAATTCCTCTGATAAACAACTGGAGCCTGATATGGAAGGACATGCTTATAAATCCCATCACTGGAGAGTCTGAGGCAGGAGGATTACAAATTTGAGGCCAGCCTGAGCTCAAAAGAAAGAAACATTGGGGAAGAAGGGAGTACTGAGTATTTTGGACCATGTTCTTAGAGGCAAATACATTTGTACTGTTATTTGAAGATGAAAGAGGAAAGAAACAGGGAGGAAATGAATGTTAAAGGCAGACAGTGCTCTCTGACCTGGCTGGACGTGAACCACAGAGGCTGACAGAATGGAAAGCCTCACACCCCTTCACTTCCAGCAGGGCAAGGGAAGCTGCCAGGAGTTCGGCTCCAAGTAATAGCTGCAGCCATGCAGACCTTGTTTTTCTTCAACTAAGACCTTTTTCCAAAGAAGATCTAAATAGTCAGAGCCTGCCAGGTTCAGTCTGGATGACTCAGGCCTCACAGCCATGTCAACAAGCTGTCACCTGCAGTGGCCAAATGCCTACCAATGGCTGGGGGAATTCAGTTCAAATTCTCTCCCTCTCTATTCTCTCTCTCTCCCTCTCCTTCTCTTTCCCCTTCCGTTCCTTCCTCTCCCTGCCCTTCTTCTTCTCCCCCACCTCCCCTCTCTCTCACTCACTCACACATAACTTTTTTGGAATTAATATTCCAATAATACCCCAAAACTTAAAAAATAGACTTCTCCCTCCCACTGCTATCTCCTATCCACCCAAAACCCTCATTAATAAAATACAAAGCAAAAATTAATAAAAGAAGAGAAAGGAAAATTATAGATCAAATAAGTTAAAATAAAGAAAAAACTGTATAGGAACTAGGCACAGAATTTGCACTGAGATTCCTTATAGCCAAGGCAAAACACAGCACCCAACAGAAAATTTAACTATTATTAGGGCTAGGGGTGTGGCTCAAGTAGTAGTGTACCTGCCTAGAAAACTGAACTATCGCTGTCATATAAAAATAAGCAGAGGACTGGGGATGTAGCCAGTGGTACAGCATTCTCCTGGCATATGTGAGGCCATGGGTTGAACCCCCAGCACTGCAAAAATATTTTTTAAATAAAAACAAGTAGAGCAAAACACCTCTTATTATGAGAGGCAAACTTTGCAGGTATGTGGTACATATCTAAAATACCACTCGGGAGCCAGAAGCAGGAGACAGAGGCTAGCCTGGGCTGCAGAGTGAGACCCAGCCTCAAAACGTAAGTAAAAGGGGCAACTTTTCCTAGCTCCAAATTCTCAGTTCTGTAGTACTCTCTAACATCATATAAGGGTTACACAATACAGTCTCACGCACAATGCCTTCAATAGCAAGTCTGTTGTTTTGTTTTAGTTGTCCTTCTCCTGGCCTCTTTATGAATCTAGTTTTGGCAGTCTGACCTTTTCTGTCCATTCTCAGCACCAACATCCCCCCACACACCTGTTAGTCCAGACTGTGAGCAGAAGCTTGAGGAGACACAAATCTGTGGGAAGTGAACAATAGTGACCCAAATGGACTGAAGGGGCAGTTCCCAGGAAAGAGAGCAATAATCCATGACTAGTGTCAGCAAGACACAGATGACAGTGGGTAAGAGACCAAAACAAAGTTAGAAAGTCTTGACTGCTTCCCTTGAAGCCACCCTTCCAATGTCATCTCCTTCTTCTCCCCTTTGCTCACTGGCTCCACCACACTGGCCTCCCTGCTACTGCCACATCAAATCACGCTCACTTGGTGTCCAGAAGGGATGTTTGTTTGTCCCTTGGCCTGGAGGGCTGCCCCCGACCCCGTGACAAGAATGGTTCCTCACTCTCACTTGGGGTTGTGCTCAACTACCATGTCCTCCTGGCAGAGGCTCAGTTAGGGATAACTGAGTCTCCCTCTAGACTGGCCCCACCCACCAACACTCAGGTGCCATTCTGATACCACTTACCCTACACTGTTTCTCCTCCTGTGCTTATCACTACCTACAAACATGTTGCTGACTTGCTGACTGTCTGCCTCTTCTACTGAAATGTAAAGTCCATGATGGGAAGGACTTTGTCTTGTCCACAGAACTCTCCCTAGTACCATAAACAGAGCAGGTGTGCAATAAATATTTGTTCAGTGGATAGAAAGAAATCTATGAGCATAGGGAAATCAAGATATTCAATTGTATCTGGGCATAGCAGCATATACAAGGAATCCCAGAACTTGGGAGGCTGAGGTAGGAAGATTGTGATTTTGAGACCAACCTGGGCTATATTCCAACACCCTGTCTCAATCCCCACACACACACAAAAAAAAAATTATTCAGTTTTGCATACAAATGTGAAAGGTGTTCAAGGAGAGTCATGTGTCCAAAATATGAGAGGTCATTTTATTTGTTTATGGCAGCACTGGGGCTTGAACTCAGGGCTTCACACTTGTTAGACAGGCACTCTACTTCTTGAGCCACACTCCCAGCCTGGCAGATCATTTTAGAGAATCTGTCGTGAAGAAATGCATGCTTCAGCAAGCCCTGAGCCCAAAAGTCTTCCTGCCTTTGACCTGGCACATGGAGATTGAACACATCTAAACAAAAAAAAGAAGAGCCTTTTAAAATATTAAAAGCTCACCTTGAATAAATAGAAATAAACTTGTTTGGTATCTGCATCTTCTTCCTTGTGCACGCAGGTAAAGAGATACTCCACATCCAGCACTATTCCCAGGAGTCTGTCCATCTCTTCCTCTGACACATTCTCCAGGTGGGAAACATGAGCAGCTTTAAGACCAAAGGACATGGGAGAGATCAGCTGGAAACCACAGATGCTCCCACTCTGAAACAGAAGGTTCTCTCTCGTGGACTTCTCTTCAACCCCTGAGGCTGCATACTAAATCCACAAGAGAAAATTTCTAAAACCCTATAAGAATTGTGTCTTTTCACAAAATCTACTGAAAATTAGATCACCATGTTGTTGAGCCTTAGCCTCCTCGTCAACACTAAATCTGGGCCAGGAGCTAATGTACTCAAATGATGTGTATTTTAAGGAATGCAACCTATAGCACCAAGAAGGAAATGACAGGGTCATATAAATAAACAGGGTCCATATAAGTAAATTCTCCACCATACCAAGAGGGTTCTATGTGGTCCTGCACTTGGATCATGGATTCACAGGGCTATGGTTCAGAGCTGCAGAAAATCAAGCTCCCTAAAGATTTCATTTTAAATTTCGTGAATAGCTGGGTCAGTCCAGAAAATCCTAACAGTGTGAAAACTGAAGCCCCTTTCCCTCTACCTTTCCAACTGAGATGTAAACTTCAGCATCTTGGAAGCAAAGTCCCAAGGCCTACTGCAGCTCGAGATCCAATGTCCTGTATGTTGAAAACCAAAGCCTGCCTTTCTACTTTCACTTTGTTGACTTATCCATTGACCTTCCTCCCCCATCCTCTTATGGTCTATCTAGCCAAATTCGGTCCATCTTTCAAGGTTTTGACATTTAATCCTCAAACAATCCCATGAAGCATCCATTATTGATTAATCCCAACATACAGCTGAAGAAACAGACCTGGAGAGACTGACTACGTTCACCCAACAAGCAGGGTATAAAAGTGAACAACGTTTGACTCAAATTCAAAAGCACTGACTGATAATCAGCTAGCTGATTCATTTCAAGTCCTTTTGCACTTGAAAAGGGACCTGGGATAAGTCATCCAGACACCACCCACTATGCCAAGAGCTCCTCTGGGTTGGGGCCAGGCCTTGCATTTCTGTTATCTCAGCACCTAGCACTGTGCTTGCCACAAGACAGGAACCAGCACTACAAGAATGATCCTTTTAGGTGTGTCTCTACCAGTATGGGCTTAAAAATGCTCGGATGTAGAAGTGCTTGACTTTTAAGGAGACTAAAATTAGTAGGAAATGGATGGGCTTTTCCTCACCTATTATTTTGTGGGAATGGAACCTAGGGTGTTATACATACTAGGCAGGTGCTCTGCCACTGAGTTAAATCCCCAGCCCTTCCTCACCTTTTAAAGGGAGATAGAACTAAAAGTTATTAAGGAATACTTGCTAGGCATCTGCATGAGTCAATTAGGAGAAAAAGCAAAAACAAAACACGCTTACTCTCACCACCCCCTCCTGCCCCTACCCAGTGCTGGGGATGAAACAACTCTATGAATGAGCTGCAACCCCAGCCCCTGGTTATTTGAAACAGGGTTTCACTATGTAGTGAGGCCTGCAACTGGCCTCAAACTCCTGATCTTCCTACCTTAGCCTCCCAAGTACTGGGGTTACAGTCATGCATCACTATACCTTTTAAATAGTTGAAGGGTGGGCTGGGGGCATGGCTCAAGAGGCAGAGCACTTGCCTAGCCATGTACAAGGCCCTGGGTTCATTCCCTAGTACTACAAAAAAAAAATAAAGTAAAACAAGTCAAGACAAAATAAAATAAATAGTTGAAGAGTACTTTCTTGCATTAAAAGTCTTCTTTACTAAGATTAAGAGAAGCATTTCTTTTAGTAATGTGTGACCTTTTTGGCTTACTATGAGTTATTACAGTACAGCTTTGAAGTTAGAATGAGGCACACTTAGGCATGGGTGGAGGTTGACTGGGCACACTTAACCAGAGATAGGTAACACGTCTAATTTTGGTCAGTAGCCCAAAGAGTGAGGAGCAGTGGCTGGATCTGATAGAGATAGGGTAGTCTGAAGCAAGTAGTGTTCTCCTTGGTGGCAGGGAGAACACTATGAGGGTTGTCACTTCAGGCTCGAAATCTCAGTAGCTACAAAGGTAAGAAGGCAAGAGAGCTCAGCTGAATCAAGTGGCTGACTTGTGTGAGGAGGGTAAAGAACTCTGGAGGAGTTAATGATGGGCTCCTTGGCACAAACAGGACGAGCAAGAAGAAGCTACCATGTTGAGAGGGCTGTGTGCAAATCAATCTTACAGCCCAGTTTGCCAAAATGGCAATGCCTGCCTATTGTTAGAAAGTGGGGCTGTGAGTGGGGTTCTGGAAAGACTGGAGTTTGAGAATAAGCTGGCTGGTGATACGAACTTGAAGAGAGCAAAATCATGAGGGTTAGTTGGATGTGGTTGGTAGAGCATTCCTCTAGTCTCAGTACTCAGGAGGCGGAGACGGGAGGGTAGAAGGTTCAAAGTCCGTGTGGGCTATATGGACTCTGCCTCAAAACAAAACAAACAGAACGATGAATCCTCTTGCCATTACTAGGGAAGGGAGGAGGATGGGGAAGGGAGATGGTAGGGATGATCTAGCCAATGTACAATGTAAAGTTATTCGGAATTGTCACAGTGACTCCCCCCATACAATGAATATAAAAATGGGAACAAAAAAATAAATAAATAAGGTACAAAATAATTTTAAAACCTGAGAGTTAGATGCTCAAAGACTGAGTTGAATATGGACTATAAAGGAGCCTTGATCAAAAGTGGTTCATCAGGCCAGACACTGGTGGCTCACACCTGTAATCTTAGCTACTCAGGAGGCAAAGATCAGGAAAGGATCAAGGTTTGAAGCAAGCCTGGGCAAATAGTTCGGAAGATCCTATCTTGAAAATACCCAACACTAAAAAAGGGCTGGTGGAGTGGAGTGGCTCAAGCTGCAGAGTGCCTGTGTAGCAAGCTCAAGATCCTGAGTTCAAACCCTAGTACTGCCCAAAAAAAAAAAAAAAAAAAGGTGGTCCATCATCAGTGTCCTTAGAGAGGGGCTGCATTGGAGAGTGAAAATTAGATGTGTCTAGACAACTAAGAGTAGTGACTATTGTTCTCAGGTGACTCTTATTACAGGGAAGCTTCCTTCTCATAGCAATTTGTCCAGACTGTTTTTTTATCCCTTCTCAAGCAGATGGTCCATTCCCTCTGCATTCATCTGCTCTACCCTACCCACTGTTCATTCTAGGAAGTTTAATCCTTCTGTTGTATAATACCTGCCTCTTGCCTCAGTGTACCACCTTCATCCCAGACCTAACTTTTTCCTTCATTCTCAGAAGAGATACCCTCTACTGCTGTAAAAGTTACCACCCATGTTCCAAGCAAGCCTGTCTTTTCCTTCTTTCTAGGACACTCCTGATGGCTCACTGACATTTTCCTCATTCCCGCCTTCCTCCTCCTTTCTACTAGTGTGGGTTAAACACTGGGCTTTTGGGAATGTCAGAGGCAAAGGACCCTCCTTGGGTGTTCCTTCTTAAGCATTCTAAGGTTTATTCAGTCTAGTCTTAAAAATATGTAAGATGAATTACCTACAAGGATAGGGGATGGAACCCTGAGCCTTCTGAAAATAGAAATGTTTACCTTTATTTTCACCAGAGCAGCTCTTTCTAATTCAGAGTTCAGAGTTCATTTGGGTAAAGTGTTCTGTGGCTTAAAAAAGTGAGGCACTAACTTCAAAAATAAATTACAGTTTGTATTCCATGAGTTAAACCCACTACCTTAGAGTGTTTCATATCACGGAGAATCTAAAGGAATTTATGTACCTTGCAACCAACTGCTTTTATAACTTGCCATGGAAAGAGATTAAAACTTTTAAGACACAAAAGTAATCTTAAAGTATTTCAGCAAATAACTGACAAAAATTTTGACCTAGTTCTCTCCAGAATGAGGTATGTCTCCCAAAGGCTTCAGACTGACCTCAAGGAAACTTTTGCTATCTTAAGAAAACCTGAGTTGGCAAACATTCTGCCTATATAGAAGTCTAATTTTGGGTTTCTTCTAGAAAGTAATAAACCACATATTATATAACCAAATATAAAGTAGTAGATTTGAACATTATTTTAAAATTTTGTTCTGTATTGGGTTTTTAACACTAATTTTACACATCACAAACCTGCGTAATTTTTCTGTGATATAAATTATTTATGTTCATAGAAGCCATTTAACCAATTCCTTTTTCTTTTTTTTTTTTTTTTTTTTTTT